GCCCCAGGCGGGTCTCGAACCCACGGGCTCAGGCAATCCACTCACCTCAGCCTCCCAAGGCGTGGGATGACAGGCTGAGCCACTGAGCCCGGCTTATTTTTTTCTTTTACAAACTTGCCTCAGTAGGACCATGCTGCTGGTGAGTATTCACACTTCCTGATTTTCCATGTGAATGCCAGCTACCTTGCGTCCTCTCCTATCCCTTTCATTCCCAGCACTAGGTGCACATCTGTGAGCACACATGCACACACACACGCATGCGCACACACACACGTGAAAAGAAATGAATGAGAGGCCCTGGAAAGAACCTTAAGAGGTTAGTTTACCATTCTTTGACTTCAGTTCTGCAAATCTGAAGACTGTTAAAATAAGAGTGTTCATTAAATACATAGAAACATGTATTTAAAAACCTATCGTGAGGACAACATGACTGCCCTTGACAGTCTTCTGTAGTTTTAACTGTAGCCCACAGGTTAGTGACTCCCAAGCTCACTTCGTGGCCCTGACTTTCCCTCTGGGGCTAGTCCTGCGTTTCCAGCCCTGGGTGGATGTCACTAATCTGTAGGCATCTCTTCGTCAAATTTAACATCTACCCCAGAGTCTTTCTTTGTCCTCTGCCTAGGAATGTGGGCTTTCACGAGGGAGGAGTGTCTGGTCTTCGGATGTTCTGGCGAGGAGGAGGCTGTCCGGGGCACCAAAGCCTGGGAAGTGAGGGCAGAGCTGGGAGGTATGTGTGCGCGGGTGCGTGTGTGCTTGTGTGTGAGTATGTCTGCCTGCACATGTGCTTTGTGTGTGTTCTTGGGGGTGTGTGCATGCATGTGTTCGTGTGTGTGCTTGTGTGCACAAATGTACATTCCTGTGCATGTGTGTGTGTTTGCATGCGATCTTGTGTGTGTGCACGTGTGTGTGTGGGTGTGCCTGCGTGTGAGATGACAGAGGGGCATGCTGCCACAGGTGAGAGAGGCAGAACAAAGTGGACGATACAGATCCCGCAGAAACATGTGGGTCCTGCTCTCTAGCCCAGGGCGTTCTGCTTCCCATGTGGTCCTTTGCACCTTAAGAGAGAGCAGAGACTGCTCAGCCCAGGGGGTGTCCAGGCTCCCAGGTCCACAGGCACCGGGCAGCCCACCGTCCTCCCTCCAGCCCGCCTGGAACGCCCAGTTCTCCCAGCTACTGACCCGATCCTCAGAAAGGGGGACCGTGTGCACGGGGATGGGCTGCCAGGGCAGGCTGGGATTCCAGACGCCGGCGCCCTCCGGGGGAAACAGGGCTGCGAGGTTTGTCATCACACTCATCAAGGTGCGGTCCACGTCCGTGCTGCGGATGTACACCTGCAGTGGGCAGCCAAGCAGAGGTGAACATGGAGGGCGTGAAGACGTCCTGCAGGGCTGACGGGGCGCGACAGAAAGGGCAGCACACCCACACCACGATACTGGCGGCCGTTGTGGTGGCATCAGAATCACGACACTTGTGATGAGAAGAGCAATATTTTGAGCCGCCATGGGGCAGAGCAACCTGGCAGGCCAACAGCTGAATTGACAAACGAGACCGAGGAAGCCATGGCTACTTGCCACGCCAAACAATTCACACAGGTGTTTAGACTCACAGATTGTTAGAACAAAACATCGTAGAGAGGAGTGCACTTGTAGACAAGATCTCTGGCTTGTATGAGTTCCTTGGAAAACAGGCAAAGCGCTTTTACATACGGAGAACTATTTTCAATTTTTTTCAAGGTCAAGTTTCCCTCTCTCGGCTCCCCGACTTGCCTGCTCGTGTTTGTAGGACTCGTTCAAAAATCTTCTATATCTTTTCCTCACATACTCTCCTAGTTCATAATGCTGCTCCATGCCCAGCTGCAGGGAAAGTAAGAGCAACAGTGAATGAAAGCCAGCTCCACAAATCCCGTCATCCTGGAAGCCCACCTTACCTCTCCTCGTGCCATTCGTGCGCGAGCCACGGTGTGCTTTCAAACTCCACAGGGACCACCCGTCTTTAAGCGGAAGTGAGAGCTGCACTCTGCAGCCACAGTTCCCCGAGAAAGCCCGTTAGTCCTCACCGAGCACTCAACAGAGACACTTGCACACAGTGAGTGCTCAGTGGACGGCTGGTGGCTGATCTGAGGGAAGCGGGTGGCTCGTGTCTGAAGCATTCACAGAGGCTGGGCGACCTCTGGGTGGGGGTGGTGTGAAAAGACCCAACCGGCTGATGAAGTCAAGCGTGAGAAATCTGAAGGTCCCGTTCAGCCTCTGGGTGCAAGGATGCTTTTATCTGCACCATTTATTCATTCCTGGCGCAGGAAAAAAGTGGGAGCCTGCAACTCAGAGTGCGGTCTGTGAGTCCGCAGTCTTGGCATCACTGACAGCGTGACAGAAATCAAATTCTCATGACTCCTGAATCTTTAGGTGTGGAGCAAGGGATCTGTTTTTAACAAGCCTCGGAGGGACAGTGATCACTGAGCAGCATTGCGCTAGCCCAATGGCCTGCAAGCAGTGCTGTGCATCAGGAGCAAAATCATCTGGGGGTGCTTGTTGAAAGGTGGATCCCTCAGCATCTCCCCCAGAGATTCTGGCTTATTAGCGCCTGGGTGGGGCCCTGTAATCTGCATTTCAAAACAAGCACCCCAAGTGATTCAGTTGCAAGAAAAGCACGCCATGCTTTTAGAAATGCTGCATTTAAGTTTGCCTTTGTTCTGTCTAGTCTTTAAGAGATGGGATCATGCTGTGTTTCCTGCAGCCTTGACCTCCTGCAGCCTGCCTCCTTGACCTCAAGCAACCCCCCTGCCTTCTCCCAAGTAGCTGGGCACAAGACCACGCCCAGCGTCAAGTTTGTCTTTTGATTCAGAGCCCCGCCCGAGCCTCAGGGGAAGATGTGGTCACTGTGGCTGCTGCTTGGTCCCACTTGTCATGTGCTTGTCATGCTTGGCCGTGGCCACCGGCACCTCTAAGCGAGGATACGGATGAAGGTGGGAAAGGAATAATAATATATCCTGACCTGGAAAGCTGCAAGCAGATAGTTTATTTGTGTTCTGACAGCTGACTTTTGAGGAAATAGTCATCTTCTGCATACAGCAGTGATTTTCAAACTAATATGTACAGAATCACCTGAAAAACTCTTTTGTTTTTTTGAGTCAGGGTCTCACTCTGTTGCCCAGACTGGAGTGCAGTGGCACGTTCACAGTCACCACAGCCTCAGCCGTCTGCCTCAGTCTTCCAAGTAGCTGGAACTACAGGCGCATGCGTGACCACGCCCCGCTAATTGTTTTTTTGTTGTTGTTGTTGTTGTTTTTTTTGAGTTGGAGTCTCACTCGGTTGCCCAGACTGGAGTGCAGTGGCACACTCCCAGCCACCGCAACCTTGACCTGTTGGAC